AAGCCTGACAAGATTCCAGCAGCATTTGGCCAAGGCCCTCAGGGACATGGTGTGAATGTTGGGATTGTCCTGTGCAGGGACAGGAGTTGGACTCCATGATCTTTGTGGGTCCTTCCAGCTCACAGCATCCCATGATTCTGTGAGGGCTTCCCTGCTGTACCCACAGGGATCGGGGCTCTGCTTTGGGGCTGTTGGCTCCCCTGACCTGTCACCCACGGGGCTGAGGGCTGCAGCAGCCTGCTGAGCAGAGCATAGGAAGGTCCATAAGTACTGGGTGCAAGGGGCATTAGATGTGTCTGCTGAGAAATCACTTAGCAGATCATTGGCTCATCCTTTGTTGCGTTGTGTCATTTGTCTTGGTGTCTGTTTAAGACAGTTTGGCCCAGTGCTCTTGCTGCCCATCACAGGAAAGCATCCAGGCGGGTCTTGAATGTCTCCAGAGAAGGAGACTCCACCCCCTCCCTGGGCAGCCTGTCCCAGGGCTCTGGCACCCTCACTGGAAAGAAGTTTCTTCTCAAGTTTAAGCAGAACCTCCACTTACTCTGTTGGAGCTGCTGACATGGTTACTCAAAATATTATGTCCTTACCAGCAATTCTTCTAATAGCAGCAGCTGCTCAAAGTACAGGGAATAGGTGCTACTTCCCATTCATACCCTGGTTGAATTTAATGGGCAGAAAGAGCAAAGCTCTTTTCCTTTCCCTTTAGCCCCATATTCTTTCTGCTGCTACACCAGCTGTTGGTTTAATGGTTGGTTGAGCTGCATTTCAGACACCCTAACTTGTGGTTTCTCTTTTGGTAGCAATTGTTTGTTTCGAGCCCTCGGTGACCAGCTCGAGGGGCACTCACGGAACCACCTCAGACATCGCCAGGAAACGGTGGATTATATGATCAAGCAGCGAGGGGATTTTGAGCCTTTTGTGGAGGATGATGTGCCCTTTGAGAAACATGGTATGGTCTCCAGAGAACACTAGTGGAAGGGGTTATTGTGCAATGTGATGACACCTCATTTGAGTACCTTCTTATTAAACAGTTCCTCAGCCCGGAACTATGTTAGGGCTCCTCTCTAGTTTTTAGAAACAGTGAATTTCAGTAGAAAGATGAGCTATTAGACTTATATTCAATTTGTCTTGGAAATGGTTTAAATTTAGGAGAAA